TGGCCCAGATTCCCTGAAGATCTGGGTTTCTGCTTTTCAGAGCCAGGTGGGAATGCCATGTGTTTCAGCTCTCCCTTCCTTCCCCCGCTGCAGCTAGGTGACTGACCTAACCTATGCCATCTTTTAAAAGCCCCCTAGGAATCATGAGTGGATGTGAGCCAGAACCCAGCACCTCGATCCAACCAGGTGCCTTCCTCACACACTGTAACTAAGATAAAATAGCAAGTTGGCCCAAAACCTAAGATTTTGAGTTCAGCGTCCACTGAGAGTGACTGTGTGCAGCAAGACATGTCACCATGGCACAAAGCAATGCTAATCCAACATATAATCCACTCCGCTGATTTCCCAGTATTTCCATCAGACTTCTAGACTGCTGCTTCTTGAATGGACATCCCAAGTGGACATGAACAATACACAAGCTTGCCAGCTGAAGTCTGCTCATATAAACTTCCCTGAAGTGAGAATCAAAGGAATAAGGAATAATCACAAGGCACGTCCTTTTAGTCCTTCAAAAAGGACTAAAATCAGAAGGTTTATTTTGCAGAAGGGTTTTACTGGCTGTAGTGATTTACTTGAACTAGAATTTACATGGAACTTAGCCTAGGTCATAGAACTAAACCTTACATTCTTAAAATAAAAATGATGCAAAAAGCCTATCATTTCCATGTGGTAATCTATCAAAGGTAGCTTGAAAGTAAAAGGCATGCCTCATTCCTGAGCAAGGAAAGAATAAAAGCAAGATTGAAAATTTAGCTTGATTTGTTTAAGCTTGTTAAATTCTCAGTTACATTGTGATGAACTTGTAAGTGGTTATTCAATTTGGCTCCTGCTGCAGATGCTCTACATGTCAAAGCATGCAGAGCTGGAGTATGGACAGAGGGATGTGCACACAGTGGCAGCACCTGGAATACATCAGGTCCTCTTCCTGAGTCTTTTTTCCTAGCGTGTTCTTGACCCCGGTTCTGGTTAGCCAGCTTCACTGGGGAAAGTCACCATCTTTTCCTTCTCATCTCAGTAACAGGTTTTAACAATAAACCACTATTGGGAAACAGGGGGACCAGGTAGAGAGTATGTCTTCACAGTTTCTACAGTTTTCAGTGCTGCTTATATTCAGTGTTGTTTATATTCACTTTGTCTCCTATTGTCCTTTCAGTCCTCACCTAAGGCATGCAGGAGTCCACAGAACTGCCAACAGTGCATTATTACAGATATCCAGCTAACATATTTTTAAAGAACCCCAAAAAAGTGTAAAATCTTTTTTTGTTAGTACTGGGAAAGTTTGTTTCCACAGTATTAAAAATCAACATTCCTTGTATTAGACCAATTTTTGATATTTCAGTATGAAAATGGATAGCATACAAGAAAATGCAAATATGGTCTTATATAGCAATTAACATAGCATGATGTACACGTAGATGCATAGATAATCATAGGATTTATCCTGCGTTCATCATAATGGCAGTGAAAACGAGAACAGACCAGCAGAACATTTAGACAGGATGTTTTTGTGTCTGGTACAAGGTACTAAGTTAAAAAAAAAAATAAAATACTTAAAGATTGTCTTCCGTAATGCTTCAGTTTGTATAAAAATTAAAAAATATCACAGAAGTTTAAGTGCATCTAAAAAGAAAACCAGAACATCAGTGTTTATGGGTGTGAGCATGTGAATGCTGAATATAACATTCAAACAAGAATTCAACACAACATTTGGTTGCCTAAGTATTTTTGTGGCACCATTTTAAGAATTCTGATGGTGTTTCTTCAAATGAATCTGAGTCCCAAGGAAAGCAGGTGGCGTCCTTTGGAGGACCTGCTGGATCTCTCATGTGAGGAAGCAGATGGAACTTGCAGCTTGTTCTTCCACTTTTGTGGGAGGATATTTTTGGTAAAAGAAAAGAATTCTGGTCTCTGTGCTATTGCTCACTTGGTGTATAATCTTTAGCACATCATAAATACCCTTCCAAGACCACTTCCTATGAAGTGCTGGGTGTCTTTATGCAATATTGAGACAACGTAGAAACATTTCACAGAAGAAACATAAATTTCCCTGTCAGTAAAGAAAAAAAAAAAAAAAGAAAAAAGATGATAGCTATTGCATGGAGTCCTACCCCATGTTATTCCAACTCCTTGGACATCAGCTGGAGTCAGGCCACTCAGAACTTCATATAAGGCATCCAGCATTGTTTAGTATCTGGCCAAGGGGATTTGTGAAGATTATTTAGGATGCAATCCATCTCAATTAACTTAATTAACAGCTTTAAATTTCAGTGTCTAAAATAATCTTCCAGGTTTTCCTAAGGACAGGGGAGTCACATGGACATTTACAGATGACACTTTATTTCTTGCTAAGGTGAGAGCTTAAAAAGGGGTACAGTGACTCCAAAAATGTCAAGCAGTATATTTACTAAGTTATCACAGGGTGTCCCTATGACCCCCGGCATTCCTTTAGGTAAGTGTCACAGTTTCACTTTGGGGGAGCTGAAACACTGGAGTACTGATTTTCAAAAGCAAGAAGTTCTCATCACTGTCACATGCAGCAAGCTTTAACCTTCTGGAGGACAGTCAGAAGCTTCCTTCATGATTCCAGATGACCATCACATCACCCAGCCTCAGCCCAGAGCAGCAGAAGCACTGAGAAACTGAAGCATTGCCTTAATCCCCCTCCCTTAACGGGAGCTTCTCAGTCAACCCGTAGGAACATCAGCCACAGGAACAGTTACCTTATGGTAAATTCTCTTCCAGTTTGAGTCCTTTAGCCAAGTCGATATATTTTCAAATACTGTATTTTAACTCAGTCAGATGTTTTGAATCAGCTTTATGCAAAAAACTGAGATTCTAAGGGCTGTACAATGCAAATTCACAAATCAATCAATCGTAAGAGCCAAAACTGACCTGAAAATACATCAGGATTTCTTTCTTCATTTTCCTAGTACAGATTATAATCATGACCAGGAAATCCACCCAGTAGAAGTGTATTCACCAGAAAGTACTGTTTCGTTTTTGGAGTATGCCTCTGAGAAAAGGTATTTTATTTAAACAAGAAGAGAAGAGAGCAGACTAACAAGTGTTTTTCTTCCTCTTGCAAGCTTAAGCAGGCTTAGCAGGTGCAATTTACTATGGGAATAATAGGAAAAAGTAGGAAAATATTTGTTATTTATTATTTGCATTACTGCAGCACATTCAAGCACCTGTCAGGGAGCACTCCCCAAACACGGAACAAAACCGTGTTCCCTGCCTAAAGAGCTAACCTGCTTTCAGGACAAGAAGCACAGACCTACTCAGGCAGTCAAGGAGAGCCAGGAGCTACTAGGACAACTTTGGTCGGCACAATGAGATCAGTCTAACTGTATTATTCCATTCAAAATTTAATTGTATTTAAACATTTTTACTTTCAATTATTCTCAGTTGTATTATTCCATTAAAAATTACATTGTATTTAAACATTAAAAAAAAAAAAGGTTGTGGGTATGCTCAACACATATTTTTTTCTACAATTTATCTCAGGTATTTTGTTAATATTTTCAGTTACCTGTTTTTAAAAGCTGTCTCCTCTTGGAAACTACCTCTTCGTGGTCACTGAATTTCACTGTTGTCTAGTAGGCCAATTTTGTGGGGTTTTTAACTGACTTTTAAAAATAATTTTAATAGATTTGGAGAACATGTATTTCTCTTACAAAATGTGGGCTATCTTTACCTATCTACTTTTCTAAGCATTATACTAAGACAGGCACCTGTATCTGGAATGTAAATACCTTTTAACAAACTAAAAACTGCTGCAGTGTAGTGCTGTTTTTCTAACTGAACATCAAAGCAATAACTTCTCAAATTTTTGGAACTGCTTGAGTCCAAGATTTCACTTGTATCGCTCTTACCTCAGCCACTGCATATTTCATTTTTTCCATAATCCTCATGTAAAGAGCATGCTGGTGTACCAGCTGGGCAGTCCCTGCCTGCCACACCAACCCCAGACTTTTCTGCACCATAACACCACTGACAGGCTGTGGAAGGAAGAACAGTGCTACAGAAATCAGTGTTTTAGCTCATTATTCCCCAGATTCTGGGGCTGATTTTCTCAAGACGTCATACTGGATTCATCTGTTCATTTCCCTCGTAGCTTTTGACAGCTATAAAATTTCTGCTGACTTTACCAGATAAAGGAACCTAGTTGTTGATCAGGAAAGCTGAAGCATAGTTCTGACATACAGGGAGAGGGAAATCTTGTGTAAGCACCCATCAGAAGGGTAAGCAAAACCCAAAGGTGTCAGACCCAAAGTGCTGGAATTCGCACTGCTGAAACTGGTTATTTGAATATACTTGTGCGTCTTTTGCTTTAATTAGATGTTATTTAACTATCTCAATCATTTCACAGGGACCAGTGGCCCAATACAGCCCCCTTGATAGCTCCCACCATTCACCTTTTCCTCAAATACCCACCATGGAGTGACCCGCCTGAGTTACTCATCTACAAAACAGCAGTTGTACCACCGGGATTGCTCAGCCATGGCCAGGTGGTTCTGGGACAGCCGCAGTGACTGAAACTGGTAAATATTTTACATACAGGTAAGACACTTAGGCTTCTTCCTCATCATATTAAAATTTAAGTCTCAGACTTAATCTGTCAATTTGCGACTTTTTTTTTTTATGTTATTATTAATTTAGGACCCTTAAAGATCCCAGCAGGTTTGGTTTTGTTTTCTTCTTGTTTTGTTGTTTGTTTGCTTGCTTGCTTTTGCTTTAGTTGTGGAGCTTATTCGATATATTTTGTTGCTGGTGTTGCTCTCCCCTCCCTCGAGACGCTTTCCCCGGCCAGACGGGTCGGGCCCGGTCTCGCCTCCGCGCCGAGACCCGCGGACCCCCCTCGCCTCCTCCCCGCACCCGGGCTCAAGGCGGGCGTCGGGCGGGAGCCGCGCCGCCCCGCCGCTGCCCTCTCCTTTTCCTCCCCTACCGC